AAAAAAAAAAAAAAAAAAAAAAAAAAAAAAAAAAAAAAAAAAAAAAAAAAAATTATATATACATATGTTATAAATATTTAATTTCTGATAAAGTTTTATAAAAGTTCTCTAATATCATATGCTACTACCCTAATTACTTTATAGATTTGATAAATGAACTATATATAAGCTGGTGGCAAGAACTATTTTATTATCCAACACTCGCCATGACATCCATTACACAATTTATACCCATATATAATAAGAAATCATAAAACATAAAAATGTCTGTCAATGCTCAAAATAAAATTCGACACGAATAGAATAAAATCATTTATTAAGAACAAAAAAAAAATAAAATAAAATAAATAAATAATAATAATAATAATAATAATAAAAATAATAATAATGATAATAAATAAACAATCAAAATAAAAATAATAGCATAATAAAAAATAATAAATATAAGATATAAAAAAAATCCAATACATTCTCTCTTCAGATTTCATTACTTAAGCTTATTTAGTAAAAAAAAAAAAAATAATAATAATAATAATAATAATAATTTGTTAAGTATACGCATTTTGAAAATTATTGAAAATTTATTCATATCAAATAAACTTTAATAGCTGCCTTAAAAACCTTAAACCCAAACCAAAGCCAAACTCAAACGACTCTGTCTCATCAAAATTGAGTATTTTGAAACCAGACACCTCAGAGTGAAGCTCAAAGCTAGAAAGCATATAAATAATTTGACGAGCCACAGCTGAAGGCAGTGAATATGCAAATCACATTTATTTTGTATTAAAAATATTTTATATATAAATATATGTACGCATGTATATATAATAGATCTGTCGATTTATTACTACCTTTCTCTCTCGCACTCGCAGGCAACGTATTTGTGATTGCAGCCATTATACTCGAACGAAACTTGCAAAATGTTGCTAATTATTTGGTCGCATCTCTGGCAGTTGCTGATTTATTTGTTGCCTGTCTCGTCATGCCGCTTGGCGCCGTCTACGAGGTAAGTTGTTGTTATATATTATTGCTGCCAGTGTTGTGCAAGCGACTCTCTGGTTTTGTTGTCGCTAGCAGTTGTTGCAACTGCTTCAAGCACAAACTTCATTACCCTAATGGAAACTTGGACTGAAAAGCGTGCAAATGAAATTACGAGCAAAGAGTTGACTTTGCCCCGCAGCAAGTGTCACGAACGCAACGAAGACTGAAGTCGATGTATGTGAGTGTGTGTGTGTGTGTGTGTGTGTGTGTGTATGCGTAATGAGCCATTGCGCGTTGTTAATTGTTGAAATTGCGTCATCTTGCCAAAGACAGCGGCAAGGCAATGACACAATTTAATTGCATTCATTCCCGCTGGCAAACACTGAAAATCCATGTGCTTGCATTCAATTTAATTTAGATAAGCAACGGCTGGATCCTTGGACCGGAACTCTGCGACATTTGGACATCCTGCGATGTGCTCTGCTGCACAGCATCCATATTGCATCTGGTCGCCATCGCGGCAGACAGGTGAGTTATCTATTATGCTACTCAGTTTACCTGTTGCGAGTCTTTTCTTTTGTAGAGTGAAAGTGAATAAAGACTTGTGCTACTCTAGTTTATTATGCAGCTGCGCGTAATGTTAGGGCTGGGTTGTTCTAGTCATTTAATCTACCTGAAAATGCGGTTCCTTTTTAATGCTTTCCCTCATAACGATATTCTCTTCCTCATTAAAGCAGAAAGATGGAATCTAACTATTGTCTAAATGATTGACTGGGAACATATCAAATTCCCGGTGCTCCAATTTATGCCATAGACAGAACTATATATACAGGGATACTCATTAATAAGAATGTTCCTTTCACAATATAAAAATGTTTGGGTAATACACAGCGATTTTTGCATCATATAAAGTTCAGCTTAGATCGCTTTAGCTCACTCAGTGAACCATACATAAATTAAAGGCAGCTTCGTACTTCATCATGAATCTTCATATACTACGAATTTTATTAATAAGTTTAGGAAGTCTTTGTCATTTTTTATTATATTTTTATATTATATACTTATATTTTCTTTCTTCTTTTATTTTATTTTATTTTATTTTATTTTATTTTATTTTATTTTATTTTATTTATTTTATTTAATTTTATTTAATTTAATTTAATTTAATTTAATTTAATTTTATTTTATTTTATTTTATTTTAATTTTTTCTTTAGACTTTTCCTAAAAAAATTTAATTTTTGTTTGAATCATGCTACTTATATATCTAATAATTATAATAATTCTGCTATAGAAATATATGTATATAAAATAGCCATAATTATTATCATCATTAACGCTCGCATAAGACAGATGCCTGTGCTTTAACAGTTATGACTATTAACTCTACAATGACTCTTATAGCTTACAAGTCGTCTAGAGTAGACTCTCTTAAACAGTTAACAACTGCAAAAAGCTAGCCTGAAAAATCTTGCTTCAGGAGCTACCCGAAAAATCTCGTTAGCTCAACACACACATACATATACATACACATATTTATCAACTTGTTTCACCACTCTTGACTCGTTAGTGCGTCTTTTATTTACTCATCCTTTGCTTACTTGACTTCTCACTTTCATGTTATTCCTCTCTCTCTCGCTCTCTCGCTCATTCTCTCTCACTCTCTCTTGCATCTCTTTGCTTTGCAGATACTGGACCGTCACGAACATTGATTACAACAATTTGCGTACTCCGCGACGCGTCTTCATCATGATATTCTGTGTGTGGTTCGCTGCGCTGATTGTCTCGCTGGCACCGCAATTTGGCTGGAAGGATCCCGAGTACATGAAGCGCATAGAGGAGCAGAATTGCATGGTCTCGCAGGATGTGGCCTATCAGGTAACCAGAACAGCGCCCGTGTGTGTGTGTGTGTTAATTCTTTATTTATTTGATTTTTCTTTTCTTGTTCTTTTGCACGCCTCGCAGATATTTGCCACATGTTGCACGTTCTATGTGCCGCTATTGGTGATTTTATTTCTGTATTGGAAAATCTATTTAATCGCAAGGAAACGCATACAGCGTCGCACACAAAAATCCTTCAATGTGACATTAACGGAGACCGAGGTGAGTCGAATGGAAAGGAAATGGGTTTTGGGTTTACAATAAATTTGATAAATTTTGCAGCTAGTTGCGCGGCATTGACAAATGTTAAATAATAATAATTCGAGGCGTCGTCTAATGAAATTTGAGCCAAAAGCCATGTCTTGTTGTCATAATGAGCGTGTCATTAGCCGAAACGATAATGCGAATCCTTTGCTACCCATTAGGGCCGGGCCCAAATGAGCACTTGAAGCAGCCAAAAAGTTTGCACTCAACGATTTATGTGCGTGTGTGTGTGTGAGTGAGCGTGTGCGTGTGCGTGGGCGTGGTAAATGTGCGATTCACTCAAAGCGTTAGCTAGTTGTATTTTGGCTAAAAACAAAATGTGCCCCAGGGGAACAACTAGAAATGCTTAGGACAGCTTCTAAATCAAATACACGAAAATAGCTAAAAGCGAATTGGAAATGAGGGAATAGACAGACAGACAGACAGACAGACAGCGAGAGATAGAAGAAGAGATAGATAGATATATATATATATATACTTAAAAGGAAAGGGACATGGTGGGGCAAGTTCAACTCGTTTTGCCTTCACCTGTTAAACAGCGAAATATAATTAAATTTTTGCAGTGCGATTCTATGGCACGTGACACGGCCAAGGAGCAGGCTGGCAAACGTCGTTGGCGTCGCGAACAACTGGAGGATGCGGAAAATGAAGCTGGCCAACTGCAGAGACGTTCACGTAAACGAATTAAGATATGCTTTGGCCGTAACACAAACACGGCCAACATCAATGCGGGCACCGAGGGCGCCGTCGCACGTTCTGTGGCCGCCATTGCCGTTGACTTTGCCAGCCTGGCCATTACGCGGGAGGAGACTGAATTCAGCACCAGTAACTATGATAACAAAAGCCACGCGGGCACCGAACTGACGACCATCTCGAGCGATGCCGATGACGTAAGTAGCTGCTGCAACTTGAGAATAACAGAATAACGGAACGGCACTGAGCTAGTTACCTGTACGCTGTTCGCTGTTTGCTGTTACCTGTTAGCTTTTAGCTATTGCTCTGCTCAAATGTTCCGGCTGCTCAGTTGTTACAGCAGAATGAAGCTAATTGTTGCTGTTTGCTTTGTGTGTGTGCACATTCTTGTCTTCTTGTCGCTCAATGCTTTGCTTTCTCTCTCTCTCTCTCTCTCTCTCTCTCTCTCTTTTTGTCTCACTCTCATCCTTTTGATAGTATCGCACGAGCAATGCTAACGAAATCATAACGCTCTCACAGCAGGTGGCCAGCGCCGCACAGCAGCATCTAATAGCATCCCATTTGAATGCCATTACGCCGCTAGCACAATCCATCGCCATGGGCGGCCAGCCAACGGCAGCAGAGGGCTCTGGCACTGGTGCCGCAAGTCCCATTGGCACAACTGTTGGCCGGGGTGTGCTGGCCAGCATTGCCAATCCACACCAGAAGCTGGCCAAACGGCGCCAGCTGCTGGAGGCGAAACGTGAACGTAAAGCAGCGCAAACATTGGCCATCATCACCGGCGCCTTTGTCATCTGTTGGCTGCCCTTCTTTGTGATGGCCCTCACAATGAGCCTGTGCAAGGATTGTGAAATTCATCCAGCAGCTGCATCGCTATTCCTTTGGCTGGGCTACTTCAATTCGACGCTCAATCCGGTACGTATATAAGAGAGAAGAAAAAGCAGAAGAACAAACAGTTACGAAGTGAAACCCCAAAAGATTTGTCCATCTGTCCGTCTTTGTTCTGTGTCCTGTATCCTGTGTGTAACAAATGAGCCAAGTGTGGGTAATTCTGATTGGATGATTGATCTACCATATATATACATATATCTCAATTGAATACAGTTACCCAGAAAAGCTGTAAATTTTGCTAATTTACAGTCATTTTTCAGCTTTTTCTCCTTTTTTCCCCCTCTTTTTTCTCTTTTTAGAGCAGATATAATCAATTCCCAGCTGACTTAATTGAAGCATTGCAGTATTTTCATACAGTTCTCTTTCCAATTGAATGATTGATTAAATGAATAGTTTTGCCAAATCTCTCTTGGCTCAATGCATGCATATGCATGTCGCAGCAGCTTAAGCTGCTTTAAAGCTTTGCAAAAATATGGAATTCAATGCATTGGAAATTGGCATCTAATTGGATGATTGATGCTGTACTACAGGAAATTTCTTAAGCAAGAGAATAGGTTTGAGTTGATTTGAATAAAGTTGTAGGTGATGAAATCGTAGAATTTATATAAAAATATTATTTTTTATATTTAATTTACCTTGAATAGACCTCAAAATATATTTCCTATATTTTAAAAAAATTATATAATATATATATATATATGAATACTTAATCAGCATATAGATATATCATTGATTTATAATAAGAACCTGCTCAGTTCTAGCCATTCTCACTCATTTTCTAATACATATTCAACTTCTTCTTACACACACTGACTCCCTCCTTTATACAGGTCATCTATACCATTTTCAATCCAGAGTTCCGGCGCGCCTTCAAGCGCATTCTATTTGGACGAAAGCATGCGGCACGAGCGCGCAGTGCGAAAATTTGATTTCAACTGAAAACCAACGAGGACCAGTATCTGTAAGCCACAACCTAAACCAAAGAGGTGAAAGCAAAAGTTACTAAGAAACTAACAAAAACAAAAAAAAAAAACAACAACAACAACAACAACAGGCATTACCAAACTCACATAAATAACTGTGTATATAGAGATATCAACTCAGATGCCAACTGAACAAAAATGGCATGTAAAAATGGATATGTAAATGAAACTGGATATGGAATTGATGTTAAATGGCATTGCAGTTAGATGCAACTGTAGTTAGGTGTTTAGATTTGTAGTCTGTAGTGCGTTTGACGATATTTTTAGCAGAGACAATCCTAAGTACATGTATGCGATAAGTAATTCCTAAACCTACCTTAACGAATAACACACACGTGCCCCAAGCTAGCAACCGACAAAGAAGCAGAAATCCAAAAGCAAATAGATAACAATTTTTATAAGCTATACATAGAAGATGCTAGCTGTTAAGAGTAAACACACACTCACACACAAACACACACATACATACACAAAAATGTATTCGTATACGTATTTGTAGTTGATTTATATATATATTTAGCTATATGTATGTCTATTTAATTTATAATATTTTAATATTTCTAAAGTCTTCCCTGTGTCTTAAAGAAAATGTAAATGAATTAATCGAGATATGTTTAGCACATAAGTTTAGCAAAGCTTGGAAGATTGGCAATATATGTTGTTTAGCATTATCTGTGTGTGTGTGTATATAACTTGATATACATACGCATGTATATGTATATCTATTCCATTACTGATAAGGCTGGGTCCAACAAACTTTGTACGCTTTCGATTGTTCTGTGTTAGTTCTCGTAGCCTAAGCAAAAGTCAACGTTTCTTACCTTTGTTCGCGTTCAATTAACTAAAATAAAATATTGGAAAATTAGATGAGAATGGAAAAGTAGGCATCGGCTAGCCGAAGACTAAATACTCTTGCAGAGAGCAAGATAATCGGCTAAATACATGTCGAGTAATTGTTAACGCATAAAATGTCCTCCTAAATATATATAGCATACTTATAAGAGCATATATTATGTATAGCAAAGAAAAAACTCTACAACTTTGCTGCAAGAGTATTATTAAAAATTACCTATGCTAAGTAATTTGTAACGAATTTACACACGCACTCACACACACACACTCACGAAATGAAAGTATCTGAATGTTGCCCCGAGCCAATTTACGAGCGTAAAATTTCCAAAAACCGTAAAACAAGATAACAAAAAACAGTTCGTAATTAAACTGAACACAGAAAATAAAAAGCAACTTGATATGATGTCGGAATTATGTAATCAAATTATGTGAATTATTATTATTCACATAGCCAAAGCGAAGTGAAACTTTTTGGCCTGGGCAACGTCGTTCACAGAGCCTGAACTGTGAGCACATGCAATGTGGCTAAAACAAGAGCAGAGTGCCGAGCCAGACACGCACGCACACATATACATACACATATAAATGTAGATATGCATATACATATGTATGAGCACCTTTCTTATTTTTCCGCAAAAATATAAATATCATTACGTTTATTTGAAAATTTGCATAGTGCTGCACAACTATTTTCATGGCCATGCAATAATTGCTTTAAATATTAAAATACCGAGAAAAATTAGCGCATTTCAATTATGAAATCGTTTGCAAATTAAAGCTAAAGTTTTCATATATGAGTTTTAAAAATTGTAAATATTTGGGTATGCTACAGAAAAATTGTTAAAAATCCAATAAAAATTAAAAGGTCTGGGTTATTGCTTCATCAAAAATTATTAAGTTTTTCTAAAAAAAAAATATATATTTCATTTCAATTAAATGAAAGCGTATAGACCTGAATCTCTTTTTTATTATAAATCAAAAAGTTATTTTAAAAAAATATATATGTATATACATATATATATATATATATATATATATA